TGGTCAAAACGTTGGGCTGCTCAGTAAGCACCTCAAAAGACTGGGTGCTTGCCGTCATGCCAGCACCAAGTGGAACCCACGAGTTCCTTGCCAACTTTATTATCTCCGAGATAATGGCCGCCGTGCAGTCGCCTTCATTTCTGGCCGCTGCCTGGCCCCGAACCGTCGACAGGTCCACAGGCCGCGCTAGCGTATCCTGCGAATATCGAGGCGAACGCTTCGAGATCAGGCCTGATGGATCTTTGACTTTCAGGGATTACGAGGTTCCGTGGGTGGTCGTTGAGGTAGCCAACTCCGAGTCAACCGCTCACATTCAGGAGAAAATGTGGACATACATGCTTGGCACCTTGGGAGTTATTCGCTATGGCGTCTGCCTCAACATGTTTACGAGGGCTAAGTTCAACCGTGATATTGTTCAGCCGAAGCAACACAGTCGCTGGAAGGCGATGGTTGCAGTGGAGATACGCCGTTTACGGAATGCTGGAGCAGGAGGATCCGAGGTCACTATTAAAAAACAGGCTGTAAGCAACATAGCCCGCCGTCTCCGTAAGGAGCCCGACCTCCTTTGCGACCCTGAAGATGACCTCATTCTTCAACGGCCGGGAAAATACGTCCTCGTGACAATCAGCGTCTTCTCTTCCGAGTTGACTACGCTGCCAGACGGCACTCTGCAGCGCCGGCTCTCCAGTCCCGTCCCAGCCACCCCCATCTGGCCACAGCAGTCGGTCGCTGGCTTCTCCATTAGATGGAAGGACATCAACCATCCGGATCTGCGTGAAGAAATGCTGCTCACTGAGGCTTTTATATCTTTCGATCGACTTCACTCGATGGTGAACAACGAATTCACAGCGCCACCGACGGCTACTTGGCAAAGAGACTCGGTTGATATCTCCGTGGCTCCGCCATCCCCGGCGTCGTCAAGTGATATCGATATCTTCAGTGGAGATGATAGTGACGATGCCGACTAGAAGCCGTAGGGCAGGCAGAGCAATTGATTGAGCTGGGAGTGTTGGGCGGTTAGGGTTTCTGGGTTGTGTGGTGTGAGGTGTTCCGATGAATACGATTGCAACTTGTGTGCCTTCTCTCCTCCACTTGCAATGACGTGCATCTGGCGACTTTGTCTCGCCGTGACCACATGCAGGAGCTCTAGAGTATGCTGTTGACTTGAGGACAGAATGTGGCGGTCGAATCGTAGTTTATCTTCAGCGAGGTTTGTTGACGTCTCCATCACTGTTGAAGCTCATTCGAATACGCCATGAATCTTGAGATCTGGCCCGGCCCGCTCCCGGAACAAACCTTTGTGCGACGTGAATTTGTTGTCTTGCGGAGTCGTCGCGCAGGAGGGGTAGGCGATACTGGAGGAGGCAGAGGTAGACCTGCTTATTGATGGAAAGCAACATAATCGGCACGAGGGTACCCAGACTATTGGACCAGAAGCATCTGCAGACCATACATGGTGTGCGCAGTTCATAAGACCCAATCTGCTAGAGGATCCTTGGTCATTCCCACCAAAGACCTTTTTAACTCACTCCGCATGTTTTAGGACCCAAGCTAGGCGTAGCCTTCCTACATCAACCGCCAGGCGACGCCGCGTGGCCGCCCTACACTTTCTAATACCTGGCTTGCGAAGCAATTCTCACCGACATGGTGCGCACGACCTCTTTGCGCAATTCGCTAAATGGACGTCTTCGGTCACGGTTCGCCACGTAAAGTGATTTAAGTCCTTCGCACGTGGCTATCAGAGGTGGTATGCCGGAGATTTTGGGAACCGTTGCAGTGCTGGAGAAAATTCTGACTGATCGAACATGGTCGGTCGTTTGGCGACTTGAGTGACCCAAGAGTCTCGGAGCTCAATGATGCGACTCTTCTCGGAGTCCGACCGCGGGTTCGTGAGTTCTTCGGTCATCGTGGTAGTGGTGGTGAGGTGAGTTGTCGCGGGCAACGCGGCTCAGAAAATCACATTCTGTTTGTTCTAGTGCTCTGGATACACAGTATTTGGGTCCCTCATCGGAACTGTGCGCGAAGCCAATGCCGGCGCACACGCCCGGCGAGCTACCAGGGTTTCCACCATAATGAGCACTCGAAGGGCGGAACAAAAACAAGAAAAACGATGTTCGCACCGGGATTCGGACCCGGATTTACCTATCTGAGTCCAGTATGTTGGGAAGGGACTGAAGGGTGGCATGCTCTACCGTTGAGCTATGCAAACTTGGGATGATAGATGCTTGGGCGATGACAAAAGTCGTCGTAGTAGCGAGGGTTCCCTCCCTATCAAGGCAACCAGCCGAGATGTTTGTCAGATGATCAGTGTGCAAACAGTTACAATGGGAATCATCGTTGCAACAGTGTTAGCAGCAGCACAATTAGAGACAAACCGCGGACAGGACAGCGATGGTGAGTCCCATACGGATATACATCCTCGTCCGTCAGTTGAGGTAGTGCCGCCAGTGGATATCTACATGCAAGGAGCTCGAAATTTGCACGAGATGGTGCATATGTCAATACCGCAGCTTACGAGTAGCGATGCGATCCCAACAAACCATCAGTCAACGAACCACATGCAACCCTGCCGCACATGCCAGCCGCGGATTCTGAGGCACTACGTAAATCCTCACTAAATGGAGAGGCTGTGGGCGCAGAACGAGGAGCTTCCGACCGCGACCAAGAGTACCGAACCAAAAGGGTCAGCGTAAATAGCATCGCGAGCGTCGCCTCCGCCACGATGGACTGTGAACGCGGCACCCCAAACGGTGGGCCCGGCGTTGCCTGCGTTACCAACAACCACGGCGACGCAGGCGATGCAAACTCAAACGCCAACACAGGCTACTCCACCTCAGGCAAAGAAAAACGCGCAGGAGATCTCTCACTCCCCGTCCCTAATGCATTCGAAGCATGCGGGCCGGCTCTGCACTGGTTACAGGCCTGACAGATATACCGGCCTTGACAGCCCTCTGCGATGAGGATGAGGCGAAAGAGGGATGGCAGACGTTCGAGAGAAACAGGCGCAGGCGGTCCTCTGGCCGCACTGCGGCGCAATCTGCCGGGAAGAGCGTCCCGTCCTAGATCCAGGTGGCCGGTGACAGAGCTGCGTGCTTCAACTTCTACATCGGAGGAGGAGCAGGCAACGGCTGGCCACGCACCCTGGGAGGGCAGAATGAAGGAGAGGGAGAAGGGGGCGGAGAAGGGGGCGGAGAAGGCAAAGGGGAAATGAGCAGCGCGCTCCTGACGGGCGGGTCTGAAGAAGGGCGAAACACAGTCTTTTCTGTATACGAGTTGCGATTTCATTGATTTTGTTTGCTTAAGAAAGCCGAACGGCCACGGGAGACGCCTGGCAGGCTACCCAGGTTGGCACCTTTAAGCAAAAAAGATAAGAAAAAAAAAAACCTGTGCGCACAGGGACTCAAACCCGGATCTACCTCTCAGACTCCAGTATCTTTGCCAGGCACTGAAGCGTCGCACACTGTACCGTTGAGCTATGCGCAGTTGGATGTTGAAAACCTCATGTAGACCTCAGGTTCGCTGTCCCCACAATGGTATCTTGTCATTCTTCTTAACCCGGGCTGTTAATAGTCCGGCCGGCCGCCAGGTCAAACGGGGCCCCACTCCGTGGGGCCCCGTTTGACCTGGCGGCCGGCCGGACTATTAACAGCCCGGGTTAAGAAGAATGACAAGATACCATTGTGGGGACAGCGAACCTGAGGTCTACATGAGGTTTTCAACATCCAACTGCGCATAGCTCAACGGTACAGTGTGCGACGCTTCAGTGCCTGGCAAAGATACTGGAGTCTGAGAGGTAGATCCGGGTTTGAGTCCCTGTGCGCACAGGTTTTTTTTTTTCTTATCTTTTTTGCTTAAAGGTGCCAACCTGGGTAGCCTGCCAGGCGTCTCCCGTGGCCGTTCGGCTTTCTTAAGCAAACAAAATCAATGAAATCGCAACTCGTATACAGAAAAGACTGTGTTTCGCCCTTCTTCAGACCCGCCCGTCAGGAGCGCGCTGCTCATTTCCCCTTTGCCTTCTCCGCCCCCTTCTCCGCCCCCTTCTCCCTCTCCTTCATTCTGCCCTCCCAGGGTGCGTGGCCAGCCGTTGCCTGCTCCTCCTCCGATGTAGAAGTTGAAGCACGCAGCTCTGTCACCGGCCACCTGGATCTAGGACGGGACGCTCTTCCCGGCAGATTGCGCCGCAGTGCGGCCAGAGGACCGCCTGCGCCTGTTTCTCTCGAACGTCTGCCATCCCTCTTTCGCCTCATCCTCATCGCAGAGGGCTGTCAAGGCCGGTATATCTGTCAGGCCTGTAACCAGTGCAGAGCCGGCCCGCATGCTTCGAATGCATTAGGGACGGGGAGTGAGAGATCTCCTGCGCGTTTTTCTTTGCCTGAGGTGGAGTAGCCTGTGTTGGCGTTTGAGTTTGCATCGCCTGCGTCGCCGTGGTTGTTGGTAACGCAGGCAACGCCGGGCCCACCGTTTGGGGTGCCGCGTTCACAGTCCATCGTGGCGGAGGCGACGCTCGCGATGCTATTTACGCTGACCCTTTTGGTTCGGTACTCTTGGTCGCGGTCGGAAGCTCCTCGTTCTGCGCCCACAGCCTCTCCATTTAGTGAGGATTTACGTAGTGCCTCAGAATCCGCGGCTGGCATGTGCGGCAGGGTTGCATGTGGTTCGTTGACTGATGGTTTGTTGGGATCGCATCGCTACTCGTAAGCTGCGGTATTGACATATGCACCATCTCGTGCAAATTTCGAGCTCCTTGCATGTAGATATCCACTGGCGGCACTACCTCAACTGACGGACGAGGATGTATATCCGTATGGGACTCACCATCGCTGTCCTGTCCGCGGTTTGTCTCTAATTGTGCTGCTGCTAACACTGTTGCAACGATGATTCCCATTGTAACTGTTTGCACACTGATCATCTGACAAACATCTCGGCTGGTTGCCTTGATAGGGAGGGAACCCTCGCTACTACGACGACTTTTGTCATCGCCCAAGCATCTATCATCCCAAGTTTGCATAGCTCAACGGTAGAGCATGCCACCCTTCAGTCCCTTCCCAACATACTGGACTCAGATAGGTAAATCCGGGTCCGAATCCCGGTGCGAACATCGTTTTTCTTGTTTTTGTTCCGCCCTTCGAGTGCTCATTATGGTGGAAACCCTGGTAGCTCGCCGGGCGTGTGCGCCGGCATTGGCTTCGCGCACAGTTCCGATGAGGGACCCAAATACTGTGTATCCAGAGCACTAGAACAAACAGAATGTGATTTTCTGAGCCGCGTTGCCCGCGACAACTCACCTCACCACCACTACCACGATGACCGAAGAACTCACGAACCCGCGGTCGGACTCCGAGAAGAGTCGCATCATTGAGCTCCGAGACTCTTGGGTCACTCAAGTCGCCAAACGACCGACCATGTTCGATCAGTCAGAATTTTCTCCAGCACTGCAACGGTTCCCAAAATCTCCGGCATACCACCTCTGATAGCCACGTGCGAAGGACTTAAATCACTTTACGTGGCGAACCGTGACCGAAGACGTCCATTTAGCGAATTGCGCAAAGAGGTCGTGCGCACCATGTCGGTGAGAATTGCTTCGCAAGCCAGGTATTAGAAAGTGTAGGGCGGCCACGCGGCGTCGCCTGGCGGTTGATGTAGGAAGGCTACGCCTAGCTTGGGTCCTAAAACATGCGGAGTGAGTTAAAAAGGTCTTTGGTGGGAATGACCAAGGATCCTCTAGCAGATTGGGTCTTATGAACTGCGCACACCATGTATGGTCTGCAGATGCTTCTGGTCCAATAGTCTGGGTACCCTCGTGCCGATTATGTTGCTTTCCATCAATAAGCAGGTCTACCTCTGCCTCCTCCAGTATCGCCTACCCCTCCTGCGCGACGACTCCGCAAGACAACAAATTCACGTCGCACAAAGGTTTGTTCCGGGAGCGGGCCGGGCCAGATCTCAAGATTCATGGCGTATTCGAATGAGCTTCAACAGTGATGGAGACGTCAACAAACCTCGCTGAAGATAAACTACGATTCGACCGCCACATTCTGTCCTCAAGTCAACAGCATACTCTAGAGCTCCTGCATGTGGTCACGGCGAGACAAAGTCGCCAGATGCACGTCATTGCAAGTGGAGGAGAGAAGGCACACAAGTTGCAATCGTATTCATCGGAACACCTCACACCACACAACCCAGAAACCCTAACCGCCCAACACTCCCAGCTCAATCAATTGCTCTGCCTGCCCTACGGCTTCTAGTCGGCATCGTCACTATCATCTCCACTGAAGATATCGATATCACTTGACGACGCCGGGGATGGCGGAGCCACGGAGATATCAACCGAGTCTCTTTGCCAAGTAGCCGTCGGTGGCGCTGTGAATTCGTTGTTCACCATCGAGTGAAGTCGATCGAAAGATATAAAAGCCTCAGTGAGCAGCATTTCTTCACGCAGATCCGGATGGTTGATGTCCTTCCATCTAATGGAGAAGCCAGCGACCGACTGCTGTGGCCAGATGGGGGTGGCTGGGACGGGACTGGAGAGCCGGCGCTGCAGAGTGCCGTCTGGCAGCGTAGTCAACTCGGAAGAGAAGACGCTGATTGTCACGAGGACGTATTTTCCCGGCCGTTGAAGAATGAGGTCATCTTCAGGGTCGCAAAGGAGGTCGGGCTCCTTACGGAGACGGCGGGCTATGTTGCTTACAGCCTGTTTTTTAATAGTGACCTCGGATCCTCCTGCTCCAGCATTCCGTAAACGGCGTATCTCCACTGCAACCATCGCCTTCCAGCGACTGTGTTGCTTCGGCTGAACAATATCACGGTTGAACTTAGCCCTCGTAAACATGTTGAGGCAGACGCCATAGCGAATAACTCCCAAGGTGCCAAGCATGTATGTCCACATTTTCTCCTGAATGTGAGCGGTTGACTCGGAGTTGGCTACCTCAACGACCACCCACGGAACCTCGTAATCCCTGAAAGTCAAAGATCCATCAGGCCTGATCTCGAAGCGTTCGCCTCGATATTCGCAGGATACGCTAGCGCGGCCTGTGGACCTGTCGACGGTTCGGGGCCAGGCAGCGGCCAGAAATGAAGGCGACTGCACGGCGGCCATTATCTCGGAGATAATAAAGTTGGCAAGGAACTCGTGGGTTCCACTTGGTGCTGGCATGACGGCAAGCACCCAGTCTTTTGAGGTGCTTACTGAGCAGCCCAACGTTTTGACCAGACGCGATCGGGATGGATATAACTCGCACCGAGCGCGAACCTTGTACCAGAGGTAGGTGGCTACGCTGTCGTATTCTTCTGCGCTGGCGACGGAAATAGTGACGGGCTCGCCAGAGACGCGGTGTCGGAGCACGGCATCGACAGCTTCGTCAAGGTGTGCTTTGTGAATTGATGCCGGTGAAGGGATTGACAGCGGTGAAGGAAGTTGCTCCGGAGTAGGCCCCGCGAGAACCTTCAGATGGCCCTCGGCGTCGTGCGTGTTGAGCGGGGCTGATCGGTACATGGTGAGGGATGAGGTTGTACGCGGTGGGGGGGTTGCGATTGTTCGAAGTACGGGTGGTAGTGGGCGAATTGAGCGATGGCGAGATTCCTTGTGCGCGCTATCAAC